TCCCAAGGAGTTTTGCCCCCTATATACTTTTGAAAGGAGACATAATCACTCACATTCAGTAACTTAACATACATATATAAATGATGTCAGAGTATAGATAGGTCTATGGTATTTTAAGTAACTCCAGACACTACATAAATTCCTGATTAAAAGTAGTTATGAACAAGCAGTAAAATTAACAGCAGTTTATGCTCCTAGAAATAGTGATTCCTCACAGAGAAAAGGTATATTATTAATTTTCTTCACAAACCACTTTAAAAGCAGACCAAAATCTAGCCAAATTTTTCTCTATCAGAAGATAAAAATAACAATTCTGTAGTTGCTTATGATACAATTGTTATACTTTATTTTGGGAGAAAAAGCAGACACTTTACTTAACTAAGATCATTTTAAAAAACAAAAGAAATAACTATTTCAATAATTGATTTCAGTAATCATTTATCTGGAGTTACTCCACCTTACCTTGGCTTGGAATTCCATAAAACTCTTCTCTGAGCATTGTTTCCTGTCTGAAAAGTAGGAACCAAAACTGCAAACTTTAAGTTCTTCCACTTTACATAGAAATCAATAAACTAGTTTTAATATGTAATGCTGGACTAAAGTTCAAAGTTCTATCTCTGTTCCTATTTGGTTGAAATATACATACATCAAGAGAGTTTCTATCGATTTTCAACTAGAAGTATCAGTTTTGCTGTCGGAGCTCTTTATTTTTGTACATAAAAGGAAGTGGGTTTTGATACTATCTCAATGTTCTTCCTGTCTTACAATGCATTTGAAATAAAGTGATGTCAGATTGAGAGTAAAAGCCCTAAGTAAGAAAAAGGAATAGGCACAATTAGTTTGCCTTACCTTTATTGATAACTAAAACTGATTGAGAACTGCTTTGCTATATGCTGCTAGTTTAATTGCTGGCTACATGTCTGTCATTTTAATTTGCACTGGACTATAAAAACATTCCTAAAAATATACACCTAAAGGTTCAGATGGTATTTATGCCATATGTATGGTCCATGATTAACAGATGTGCATCCTATGAAAAATTAAATCATTCTTCAATTTGGCAGTTTGATATTCGTGTACTTCTTGAGAATATCAGAATACCTTAATTATTATATATGTGACATCATGTGCACCTCTTACGCCACCTTCCAAACCCCACATTACAGTCTGTTTTCTCAGTTTTCTAGACTACCTAAAACCAGAAAAGACCTTTACAGAACATTTCATCTCACTATAAACCAAGGACAAATAATCAACATTGTAATAATTTCTAGAAGAGGAATGAACAAAAGTCAGCTCAAAAACAGAGTACAGGGCAAGGTTATGCTATTCACAACTACTTATTAGGCTAATGAAAACAGGGTTCTATGGCTATTTCTTAGATCTTCCTGCACCTTGAAACATTTAGTGGGTGGCACCTGCAGTTCAGTGGGTAGAGCACCGGCCCCATATATACTGAGGGTGGCGGGTTTGAACCCAGCCCCAGACAAACTGCAACAAAATAGCCAGGGGTTGTGGCGGGTGCCTGTAGTCCAGTTATCAGGGAGGCTGAAGCAAGAGAATCGCTTAAGCCCAGGAGTTGGAGTTTGCTGTGAGCTGTGATACCAGGGCACTCTACCAAGCGCAATAAAGTGAGACTCTGTCTCTCTAAAAATAAAATAATAAATAAATAAATAAAAAATAAGAATTGTAATACTAAACACTGCAGAAGGCTGAGGCAGGAGGATTGCTTGAGTGCAGGAGTTCGAGGCTTATCTGAGCAAGAGTAAAACCCTGACTCATGAAAAAAACTGAAAAACCCAGCTGGGCACCGTAGCAAGTGCCTATAATCCCAGTGGCTTTGAAGGCTAAGGCAGCAGGATGCCCACAGCCTGAGTCTGAGGTTGTAGTGAGCTATGACGCCATTGCACTCTGCTCAGGGCATAAGGTAGAACTCTGTCTCCCCCCCCCCAAAAAAATATGACTTCTATAATTATAAGGGATACAAAATATAAGATAACAAATGTTGCTGGTATATACTGAGTATTAAAATAATTTTATTACAGTTTTTTTCCTTTCTTAAAATTTATATACATCTTTTTGGCACCTATGTATATTCCCAATGATTTTATTCCTAGTTTATTAGACTGACCTTTAATACTGATTTCCCAGATCCAGCCCCATACAGGAAACAAATCTTGCAAATTGTTTCACTTGCTTGATGACCTGGGTTGGTTCCTAATCTTAGGTCTACAATTTCCAAACTTAAAAAGAAAAGTTTAAATTGGGGAGAGACAGAGCCCTTTTTACTTTTGCCTTCACCTTTTCAAAAATAGTTGCTTAGTGGGCCCTAAGGAATGGAAGGCCCTGGACCACACCTCCTTTCAGTATTAACAGGGATTACTTTAAAATTATACGTCAAGAATATTGGTCAGAGACCCCATCTGCCTTGCTATCATTCCATTTGATCTATCTGAAGTCTGAGTAGCTCTCCAAGCAGTTGTGATCTCAAAGCTAAGATCCTCTGATTACAAAGTTAGCCCAAACTGTGTACACAGTAACTATACCAGAGAGTGTAGATGAGGCCACCAATTAACTCAATTCTCTGTAGGAGTAGCACAAACATTTAACACAGACATTGTAACAAATCAGAACTATTTTTTCTGATATAGGCATAATAGTTCTGAAGGCATTTAATTGAATGTGTCTAGTATCCTACAAACACAACCTTAGTTTCTAGATCCAAAGACAGCTCATCTACCATCACTCAAATCTAATAGGTTATTCAAGTTAGAGAGAAAATGTTTATTTTGCTCTGGAATATCTCTATCAATCCTTGATAGTGATATGGTTCTATGATAAAAGAACCATCATAAGTTAGCTTAAAATTTACCCTGCCATGAACACCTAATTATAAATATTGGGATTCTTAAAATGATTTGCCTTCTTCAAACAGACTCTGACATTAGCAGAAACAGGTCACAAAATATATCCTTAACTGAAGACTCCATTCCAGGGAAACTACAACAACAGATAACTATTCCCTACAGAAAGTTGTTTTGGTAAGCTATAAAGCAGACACCGAACAGGGGATGAGAGTAAAGAATAGCAGACTAAATTTAGTGTTTGCTGGTAGAAATGGAAAGCATTCTTTTCCTAGTAAGGAAAGAGTTGTTAGAGCATTAAGTATTCAAAGTTTAAAAGAGAGGATTAGAGCAGCAAATAAGAAGAACCTAAAAAAAGCTATAGATGACTAAGAGCTGAGTACAAATCCAGGTAAAACCCAGAACATTATCCAATGTGGTAGCCACTATCCACATATAGCTATTTAAATTTAAGTGAAAATAAAATTAACTTAAAATAAAATTAAAAATTCCAAACTGGACATCCACAAATAGATCCAAGAACTAAACACAAAACATAAAATTACAAAACTCTAAGAACATAATATAACTTAAGAGAAAATCTAGATGATAATAGGTTTGGCAGTGACTTTTTAGATGTAACACCAAAGGCACAATGCACAAAAGAAAAAAATTGATACGGTGTATTTCATTAAAATTAAAAATTTCTGCTCTGTGAAAGAAACTGCCAAGAGAACAAAAAGACAAGACACAGAAAATATTTGCAAAAGATGTATCTACTAAAGGGCTGTTACCCAAAATACATAATGAACTCTTAAAGCTCAAAAAGAAGAAAACAAACAACCTGCTTTAAAAATTGGCCAAAAATCTGAACAGACATCTCACCAGAGATATAGAGATGGCAAATAAGCATAGAAGATGTTGTACATGACCTCACCAAGGAAATGCAAACTAAAACAAGACACCACTATACACCTAACAGAATAGCCAAAATCCAGAACAGTGACAATACCAAATGCTAGCAAGATATGGAGCAAGAGGACTCTCGTCCACTGATGGCAGGAATGCAAAACTGGTATAGCCACTTTGGTAGACAGTTTCTTAAAACGAAACATATTCTTACTCACATGATCTAGCAATCTCATTCCGTGGTATCCACCCAAAGGTGTTGAAAACTTAAGCCATACAAAAACTGTGCATAGATGTTTCAACAGTTTTACTCATAATTGCCAAAAATTGGAAGCAACTAAGACATCTCTCAGTAGGTGAATGGATAAACTGTGGTACACCCAAAGATGGAATACTATTCGGTGCTAAAAAGAAATAAGCTATCAAGCCATGAAAAGACATGGACAAATCTTAAATGCATACTACTAAATGAAAGAAGCCGGCCTGGCGCATGTAGCACAGTGGTTATGCCAGCCACATACACCAAGGTTGGCAGTTTCTAACCCAACCCAGGCCGGCTAACCAACAACAACCTCAACCAAAAATAGTTGGGTGTTGTGGGCGCCTGTAGTCTCAGCTACTTGGGAGGCTGAGGCAAGAGAATCACGTAAGCTCAAGAGTTTGAGGTTGCTGTGACCTGTAATGTCACAGAATTTTACCAAGGGTGAGACAGTGAGACTGTCTCAATAAATGAATAAATAAATAAATAAAGCCAATAATATCATTATACATTGCACATTTGTCCAAAAGCATACAACGTACTCCCCCCAAGAATGAATTCTAATGTAAACTATGGACGTTGGGTGATAATGTATGCCAATGCAGGATTGGCAATTGTAACAAATATATCTCTCTGGTGGGGGACGTTGATGGAGGAAGGTTGCGCATATGTGGGAGAAAATCTTTTACCTTCATTCAGTTTCACTGTGAACCTAAAACTGTTCTCAAAAGAAAAAGAAAAATGAATTTTTAAAAAGAAATTTCTTGGTTACACTAACCATAGTTCAAGTTTTCAATAGCTAACAGCTACTGTGTTGTGCTGGACAATAAAGATAAAAACATTTCCATCACTGCAGGAAACTCTCCGGGACAGTACTATTCTAGAGGGCAAGACCTGGGAGCTGGGTAAAGAGGCACTACTACTACGGTACTAACAAAAACATCTGCCCGACAGCATTTAGCATTTACTGAAGGATCAGGTAGATTTACCTTTCCTTTTCCACCTGCTCTTTTTTCCCTCCTTGTTGCTGCCACCATCACTGCTGCTGCTGCTGTTCTCAGAACTCTGGGAATCTGACTGACCATCACTGCTTTCTTCTGAACCTTCTGATAGCTCTTTCACCCCATCCGGCACATCTTTCTGAAAATGTAGGCATCCAATTAGGATTAATCATTACCATTTCAACAAACCATTACCATTTCAGAATTAAATTTCTGATATGCAACACTGCATCTTAATCGCACTGATTAATTTTTAGCATTATAGGACTCTGTAGCAGAACCAGCAGTACCTTGTGAATTCCTATCATCTCTCTTTTTGCATCAGATAAGCTAACATTTCCATCTATATCCAAAGATAAAAATTACACACCACATTCACACAGAGGCTTAGACAAAAATTGGGTAGTCTGGGTAAATATTCAGGATAAAAAAACTACATAATAACATTTTTGTTAAAATATGTACATCTGGGGCAGTGTCTGTGGCTCAAAGGAGTAGGGTACCAGCACCATATGCCAGAGGTGGCAGGTTCAAATCCAGCCCCAGCCCAAAAAAAAAAAAAAAATGTGTATCTGTGTGTGTGTGTGTGTGTGTGTGTGTGTATGTACGTACCACTGAATTCAGTTAGAGAATGAGAATCTAGGTAGTAAAATAGTACATTATTCAACTCTAATTGGTTTCTAAACATTGGTAAGTAGCAAAGGTCAAGAGAAAAAAAATTATCTTGAAAAATCAAACTGATTGGCACGGTGCCTGTAGCTCAGTGAGTAGGGCACTGGCTACATACACTGAGGTTCACAGTTCAAGCCCAGCCCAGGCCTGCTAAACAAAAATGACTACCACAACAAAAATATAGCCAGGTGTATAGTGGGTGCCTGAAGTTCCAGCTACTTGGGAGGCT